CCGACGGGACGCTTCAGTCATTTCAATGCTTACGTCATAAGGGTGATGTCATCATAAAGGACTTTGGGAATATAAACGTTTCATATAATTTCATTCTAAGAAACACAGGGACTATCTGTATACGGTCGAAATCGGAGAGCTCGATTTTGAGGACTTAACGGAACCCCAGGGCTCGAATTAGGGTAGCACGAAGCAAAGATCAGAGTTGACTGGAAAATGCATACCTCGAGGGAGAAAATCGGAGACCCTACATGATCTTCCTCGAGGGTAATACAATTTCGATGACACTCAAGAAAGAGCGGAAATTTCTCAAGGGCACGTGGATCAGGGTATAAATTAAGGGATAAGATTTGTACGAAATAGTACAAGTCCGTACTAGGTTGTTATACAGCTGTACCAATAGAATTCTTTGCCATTATTAGAAATATACCATATTAGGGTTTTCTCCTCCTATATAAAAGGGACCCCAATCTTTGTAAAAGATATCTCATTCACTGCAATAGAACATTCTACTCTGTTTTTCTCGTTTACCGTGCTCAACAATTGTTCTTCAGCTTTATTATTTTTACTTTATTGTTCATACTTTATTGGCTCTTAGCTCACCTCGAGGCCATCGAGATAATCGAGCTCAAGGTCCCCGCTGCTTTAACAACACTGGTTTGGTTCCTCAATTCTTCTTACTTAAACCTAATATTACTTGTATATTCACTAGTATTGGAATAAATCACATATCTTTAAAATGATAAATTATCTTTAATTATTACTCACAATTTTCTAGGTAAACAATCATGATTTTGTATACAAATAGTAAATATAGATACACAATGTGATTTTTAAGGAACCTAAAGAAAAGTGGTAAATATTTTTCTAATATAGTATAGCTAGGTAAAATTCCCAATATCTTTTAGACTACTAAATGTGTTGAAAATCTTGTGGCTACCAGATGATATAAGTTTTCAACAAGTGACTACAAATAAATTTTCCTATTGGCTTTACACGGGGCGCTTTATTTGGTCGTCCACATTTAACTTATACCCACTTTTTATTTTTATTTTTATTTTTAAACTTGTACTCACTGTTTAAACAACTTTAGGCCTTTTCCTCATCTTTTTTCTTCTTCGGGTAATAATAATTTTATATAGTGTTTGTGAAAATATATTTAGGTAGTTTATAAAGGTTTACAGTGGTGAGTTGTTGTGGCGCTTTATTTGTTATTATAGCTTAGGGTTTCTTCTTTTCTTTTTCTTAATTGCAAAATGGATTCGTTAGATGTATTATTGTTTTAACAAATTAGTGATTGGAGTTTGTTCTTGATGATATTTGGAGGTTATTTTTCAAATTTGAGCTCATTTGGAGTAGATTTAGGTATTAAATCGTATATTGGATTTTAAAATTCGAAGAACAAATTTTTATTTCTGGGAAATTTGCACTTTCACTTCAGACCTTTTGGCCTTAAGTGCATTTGAAGTGCAATTTTTCACTTCAGACTTGTTGATCTTAAGTGTAGGAAAACATTTGTTGCACTTCAGACCTTTTGGCCTTAAGTGCATCTACAGTGTAATTTTTTACTTCAGACTTATTGGCCTTAAGTGCATGAAACCATTGGTTGCACTTCAGATCTATTTGGCCTTAAGTGCATCCGAAGTGCAATTTTTCACTTCAGACTTATTGGCCTTAAGTGTAGGAAAACGTTTGTTGTACTTCAGACCTATTTGGCTTTAAGTGCATCTAAAGTGTTATTTTCACTTCAGACTTATTAGACTTAAGTGCATGAAACCATTGATTGCACTTCATACCTATTTGGCTTTAAGTGCATCTGAAGTGCAATTTTTTCATTTCAGACTATTTTTTTTAACTTCAAACCCGATAAGTCTGAGATTGATCGTAAAGTGAATAAATTTTTTTGCAAAGTGGGTATAAGTTCAATTGTGATCCTAAAACCAGGTATAGATGCAAAAGCCCCTTTACTTGCTTTACTATTAGGCGGGCGATTTGCAGTCGTACCCTATATTTATGCCACCTTTTAACATATACCCTATTTTTAAAAATTATTGATTTCGTAACCAACTAACAAAAAAATCCGTAATAATATGACCATTATACCCTTTCCAAAACATATAAAAGATGCATCAAGCATACCTAGATTCAAATTCTAGATCTCTTCTGTATCTCCTCCATCACTCCGTCTCTCCTGAGATCTCCTCTCGCAAACCAGATTTGAACCAGATTCAAATTCCAAATTCAAAATTACAAAATACATTTTACGTATTCAAATTAATCTTCAGAATTCAAAATAATTTTGATTGATTGAAGTTGTTTGATGAACTTCACTGATATGCTGAATTTGTATTCTAAATCTGTTTGACGTTGAATTCTAACATTCTAATCCGACAAATATGCTGAAATTTTAGGTTTATTTGCTAAACAAGCTGAAGTTATTTAGTTCATATCTAAAAAATTCAGCAAAATGAGCTGGCAAATAGCACAACGAAGAAAAAAATATATTAAAACATTATATGAGTGTTATCATTATTTATTTGCTAAACAATCTGAAGTTATTTAGTTTATATTTAAAAAATTCAGCAAAACGAGCTGAAGTTTTCCTCCTACACTGGTTAAAAAATAAAATATAAATTAAAATTTCATATTGCTCAAAAACTTAAGCATTAGTTGCTGAAGTGTTTTACGCAATCATTAAACACTTCAGCAATATGAGTTGAAGTTTTCCTCCTACACTGGGTAAAAAAATAAAACATAAATTAAAATTATATATTGCACAAAAAACTTCAGCATAGGTGCTAAAGTTTTTTAGTTAATATTTAAAAACTTCAGTAGGAAGAGCTGAAGTTTTCCTATTACACTGGTAAAAAAAAATAAAACATAAATTAAAAATTATATATTGCACAAAAAATTTCAGCATAGGTGCTGAAGTTTTTCAGTTAATCTTTAAAAACTTCAGCAAGAAGAGCTGAAGTTTTCCTCCTACACTGGGTAAAAAATAAAACATAAATTAAAATTTCATATTGCACAAAAACTTCAGCACTTGTGCTGAAGTTTTTTAGTTAATCTGTAAAACTTCAGCAAGAAAAGCTGAAGTTTTCCTCCTACACTATGTATTTTATTATCATTTTTTGGAAAAACTTCATACCAAAAAATGCTTATGTTTTCAGGAATATGTAAAATATTTTTCATATAATTTTTTGTATGCTGAAGTTTTTTTAGTTCATCTGCTAAAAATGCTTAATATTTTGTCGTGCAATATGTAATTTTCGGATAAGTTTTTGTTAATTGCTCTGTTATTTTCTAAGTTTAAAAAGAATTTTTAGATCATGCTTGAAAACTCAGCAAAGGGAGCTGAATTTTTCATCAAGCACTGTGTATTTTATTATGATTTTTTGGGAAAACTTCATACCAAAAAATAGTTAATTTTCGGATTAGTTTTTGTTAATTCCTGCTGAAGTTGTTTAGTTCATTTCCTCTGCTATTTTTCGAGTTTGAATAGAATTAATATTTTAAAAAAAGTACAAAAAACTTAAAACAAAAATTGAATATTTCATTAAACATTAAAAAGGATAAATTAAATTATATAAATAACGAAATAACATAAATAACAAAAAGAAAAACTAATCGTCCATATCATCATCATCATCGTCGTCGTCACTACCAGATGGACGAGCATCTTCATCAGCAACATTATCAAATCTTGCATACATCACAAGCGTATCAAGCTTGTTGTTGATTTCTTCCAACTCCATGTCGTACTTGTCTATGAGCTCATCCAGTTTCAGCTCAAAAGCCTCTATAATGTCTTGCTTGATTTCTTCCACTATTTGCCTGATGACAGCATCCATTTTTCTCCTTTTTGTATTTTATGTCTGCTAAAATATATGTGTTTGAGTGAATAAACTCATAAGGTATAGCGTGCTTATATATGGAAAAACTTTTGCATGGTATATGAAAAGGCAAAGAAGAATTTTAAACGTTGTCTAATGAAAAACGTGTATGAATGTGATAGGAATGTAATTATTACACTAACACATACCTCCAACACAATATAATTACTACTTTAATTGTATTTATTATGTTTACTCCTGTATACTATGCAATTAATGCTGAAACATGCTCAAGTTTGTTGAATTCATTTGCTAAAACTTCAGCCCAATGTGCTGAAGTTATTTAGTTCATTTCTAAAGCTTTAGCACTTAATGAGCTGAAGTTGTTTTCCCTGCATTCATGAATCCCTGTCATACAGCTTTTTCCAAAAAACTTCAGCAGAAGATGCTTAAGTGATTTAGTTCATTTGTAAAAATTTCAGCACAAACAACCTAAAAATTCTTCTGTTCACTTTCCTAATACTTGCCACTAAACATGAATCTGCAGGATGAGTTCGATTTGCGCTGTTATAACATTCAATGGGAAGTGGACTTCTGATTTCAAATACTTGGATCATGATACAAAACTTGTTCTACTTAATAAGCACATATCATTCAATACTTTCCTGAAGAAAATTAGTGAAGTTGCAAATATTGATTCAACCAGATATGCACTAAAAGTATGGTTTGATATCAAACTAAATACAAGCAAAGGAATTCTAGTAATTTCAGATGAAGAACTCAGTACATGTATACATTTGCTTACAACTGATTCAACCTACAAGAATTTCCATTTTGTCATCGAAAAAATACAACCTTCAGAATCTGCAGCATTCAAACAATCTCTTGCATATTCGATAAATTCAGAACCTTTTGTTGATTATCAACATGAAGTAGGATAGCTAATAATGGAAGTAGACAACGAGCAACAACCTTCTAACATTACAGCTGCTTCAGAATATATAATGTTGCAACAACTACCCCCCTCCTCCAATAAATTCATACCAGTTTGTCGATGACCAAGAAGAAGAAGGCCAGCTAATAATCCAAATTGACAATCAACACACAATCCAAGAAAGTTTTTTGTTACCTTTTGCAATGATAAGCAACAACGAAGATGAAGTAAACATGGAGCTTATACCGATAACATCGGATAGAATTGAAGAAAATACTGAAACTTCTTGTGCTTCTCAAAAATCAAGAAAAAGAGTGAGGAGAAAGTTGAAAGAATCTCCACCATGTAAAATACTTAGGCACGATGCGTTGCCTGAGGAAGTAAGAGTTGGATCAATTTTTGAGAACAAACAAAACATGACTAAATTTTTCTGCAGCTTGGAGATAAACCAGAAAGTTGAATTCACTGTTGTTAGATCATGTTTAAAGAGATACGAGCTGAAATGCATCGTGGACAAATGTGGTTGGAATGTACGTGGTACTAGAATAAAAAATTTCACACTATTCAGGGTGATAAAATATCATAACTTCCATGAATGCTCGGTTGATGCAAGAAAATCAGATCAGAAGCATCCTACATCAAATTTTATAAGTGAACAAATTATAGAACATGTTCGAGATAAAAAGATAGAGGTTACACCAGCCTTTGTAGAAAATGAAATGAAAAAGAAATTTGGAATTGACATTGGTTATCACAAGGCATGGCGTGCTATTCAAAAAGTTGTTGCTTGCATAAGGGGAACACCTGAAGAGAACTACCAGATTATTCCTTCATACCTACACATAATAGTGTACAAAAACCCAGGAACGTACACAAGTATAAAAAGAGATGGGCAGAATAGGTAAGCAAAACAATACTAACCATCAGCCTAAAGTTTCAAATGTTCCTATTTGAAAAACTTTACACCTTATGATTTGTTTTTTTGTGTTTCACTGTACATATTTGTTTACATGTTCTTTGCTCCTGCGACATCAGTAGCTGGTTGGTCCTACTGTAGACCCGTAATTACAGTAGATGCAACATTTTTAAAGTCAAAATATCGTGGTGTTCTATTTGTTGTTGTATCAAAGGATACAAACAATCAAATCTTTCCTCTATATTTTGGTGTAGCAGATTCAAAAAACAATGAGGCATACATTTTGTTCTTCGGGAAAATGAGAAAAGCAATTCAAGTTCGTCGTGAACTGGTTTTCTTGTCAGATAGAAACCAATCGATCGCAAATGGGATTAGAAAAGTTTTTCCTGAAGTCAACATGGTATCTTCCTTTATCACTTTGAGAAAAATTTAAAGCAAAGACATGCAAAAGCCACGGTAATAAATCTTTTTCAAATTGCTGCAAGGTCATACAAACATGAAGATTTTAATCAGTTAATGTCCCAACTCAAAAGTATTGACAAGAAAACATACAATTACATAATGGAAGAGCCTCCAGAGAGATGGGATCGATCGTGGTTCCCACGGCGACGTTATGATATGCTAACAACAAACATGGTAGAATCACTGAATTCCGTTTTACTAAAAGGGAGAGAAATGCTTATTTTAAGAATGTTAGATTTCATCCAAGAAAAGTTGGGAGAGTAGTTTTACGAACGGAGAAAAGAGGCAAATGAAACTTTTCACAGAGTATCAATATGGGCAGAAGAAGAGATGACTAAGAAGATGGACTTGGCTTGCAAAATATTTGTGAGTATATTTATTAACTTCAGCTTTTTATATTTGTTGCAGTCATTTATTGCTTACATTTAAAAAAAATCATACTTTTTCTTTTTTAAGCAACAATACACTAATATAGTTTGTCTTAATTTTTTATTCCTTGTTAGGTGTTCAACCTTGATTCAATGTTGTTTAGAATAAATAGTGAAGGAATCAAATTCATTGTGGACTTAAAAAAGAGAACTTGTGACTGCCAAGAATTCCAACTTGATGAATTGCCCTGTCCACATGTAATTGCTGCTATTAATAAGAGATATTTGCAGAAATCCGATTACTGCTCAAATTGGTATTCAAAAGAAACATGGTTGAAAACATATGAAGGACATGTGAATACCTTGGGAGATCAAAAATCATGAGATATACCACAAAATGTACAATCTGAGATCACAAAACCTCCCGATGTAGAGATTTTACAAGGAAGAAAACAAAAGAAGAGGCATATACCTGCGGCTGAATCAGTACCATTCAATCTACCAAATGTTGTCGATGTAAACAAGTTGGTCATAACAGAACAACTTGCTTGTCTTCTCCAGGACCTCATCCATATTCCAAGAAACACACTGAAAAATACTCCAACCTTCAATAATCCTTTGTCTGAATTTAGACTTTCATTATTGTATGACATATTTAAAATGTGATTTTTTTCATAGGAATAAAAAAATAAGCTCTTGGACTATTTTATATATTGTTAAAGTACAAATCACTCATTTTTGTTGTGCAGGCTTGCAGGTTTGGTTGCATTTTAAAAAAGTACGCAATGACTTCTGCGAGAAAAAACTTTAGGTTACAGTATGTGAAATACATATCCTTAACAAACACACACACACACTCTCACACACACATACATACGCGTACAACACACAAAAGAAATGCATGAACAAACAAAAGCTTCAGCATTTCTAAGATGAAGTTATAGAAAAAGAACTTAATAACTTCAGCATATTCTCAAATATGCTGAAGTAAACAAAAAAGCACAGCATAAAAACATAAAAAAGAATTACAAAAACTAAACATAAAAACCAACTAAGAAGTATAAAGCAAATACCAAAAAATAACAAGGATAATACAATATAAAACTAAGAAGAAAGAGGATGAGAATTACATTGATATAAAAAGAGATGAGAACAACACACAAAGTACAAACAAAACTTCAGCTCTCTGGGCTGAAGCTATACAAAATGAACCTAAAGACTTCAGCTCTCTGGGCTGAAGTAAACAAAAAAGCATAGTATTAAAACATAAAAAAGGATTACAAACACTAACAATCATCACCATCATCATCATCAGTATCGGAGATAACTATAGGGTACTCAGGCAAAAGACCACAGAGTCCAACGAGATCATTCTTCAATTTGTTGAATTCATCACACAGCTGACTTTGTTCGACGATTACTCTGTCCATAAGAGAAAGAAGAGTCTTCAGGTTATTTTGCAGCTTGGAATAGTCGTCCCCTATGGGAAACTTAAAACTATCAAACTGCTTCACAACCTTGTCGAACGAGGTTGAATAACCTACACAACTACGTTCCAGGTTAAGCCTGTTCTGGAATGATTCATTGGCAAAAAATTGTGGTCTGATTCTCTCCCAATCAGCCTTTATTTGATCCCACAAAAGCATAAGATTAGCCATCGGTTTGTTATTATACCACTCACACATCAAAGTCTCCCACTTCTGCACAATTTCATCCATATTAGGCTTTCTACTTCCGCTTGCACCAGACATTTTTTCTTTAACAAAAGCTGAAAGACTAAGGATGAATATAAATTTAAAGAAATATGATGGAAGTCTATGAATGACTATTAAATTTTCAAGTGAAGAGATTGTTAATATAGACAAAGAACTCACCTAATCAGTTTAATATCTATAAATGTAAAAGTAACTTTTTCAGTTGTTTTTACTATTTTACGTTCAGAGAAATTGAATGAAACAAGATAAGTAGGTGGTAAAACAAGTATGTGGTAAATGCAAAAAAGAAATGTAACTTCAGCCCTATATTAAGCCCACAATTTTTCTATAGTAAAAAAATAACTTTCGCCTAAAAAATAACTTTTCGGATCATTTACTATATGGTCAAACAAATTTAAATGAAAGATGAAGTAGGTGACACAAGACAAAAAGTAGATAGTAAATGCAAAAAATATAAGTATCAACTTTAAAAAATACCAAAACATGCTGAAGTTTTTGTCATAAGCTTTTTCAAAATCTTTAGCCCAATGTGTTGAAGTTATTTAGTTCATTTCTAAAAACTTCAGCACATCATAAGCTAAAGTTTTTCATCGTGGATTCAATAGTTTTGTCGTAAAGCTTTTTCAAAAACTTCAACCCAATGTGTTGAAGTTATTTAGTTCATTTCTAAAAACTTCAGTACTTGATAAGCTGAAGTTTTTGTCCTGGACTCGATAATTTTTGTCGTAAAGCTTTTTCAAAAACTTCAACCCAATGTGTTGAAGTTATTTAGTTCATTTCTAAAAACTTCAGTACTTGATAAGCTGAAGTTTTTGTCCTGGACTCGATAATTTTTGTCGTAAAGCTTTTTCAAATAACTTATGCAGAAACTGCTGAAGTTATTTAGTGTATTTAGTGATGAGTTGAAGTTTTTGTCCTACATTTGTCACTTTTGGTATGACTTTTAACCAAAACTTCAGCTTAAAAAGTAGAAGTTATTTACTTCATGCTGAAGTTTAGCATATTCGAATCAATCCAAGTCAACTAAAAAATTAATTAATGCGAATAGAGCAAAAATTTAAAAGACAACACATAAATGGCACAAAATAATGTATATTCACAAAATTCAATTTTGTTTTCACTTACATCCTTGAAAAAATTAGTTTTTTGTTTACAAGTTATTCTCTATTCAAAAAATTCACAAAGTGTCTTCATATTCTCCATAGTCATATCCTAGTTGCTCTTCTTGGGTTTCTTAACCGCATTCCATGAACCTTAACTATGTCTTCAACTGATTCACAGAAGCGGCAATAAGAGCACCTTACTTTACCACCTTGTACGGACCTTTGAATTATATTTGTCATATTCTTGCATTTTCTACATGTGTGCATCTGGGAGGAGTCACTAAGTTTGAAAAGGCGTTCATTCAAATTCGCTGCAGCACCATGAGCTATAATACAGTCACGCTCTATTTCACCAAATTTAATTCCACCAAAGCATTTTCTGTCAGACACGGGTAGACGAAGTTTAGTACTATGATTATTTTAGCAACTTCCGTCTTCTTTCATAGGAAAAAAAATATGAAAAATATTGGCAAAGACATGCTTACTGGTGTGCAGCTGGGAATTCATGGGAAGCAAAGATAATGAAGGAGAAGTCCAAAATACTTCATATGTGACGGAGAGTGGCCACATCAAAAACTCGAGCCCCAGAAAATTTGCTCTTTTTCCTAAAAGTTAGATTTATCAACTAGTAAAAAGAGCAAATTGTCCTGGAGCTCGAGTTTTGGATCTAGCCACTCTCCTTCACATATGAAGTATTTCGACTTTTCCATCATTATCTTTGCTTCCCATGAACTCCCTGCTACACCCAATAAACATGTCTTTGCCAATATTTTTTTGTTTTTCTTTGAATACAAATTTAAAGAAATATGATAGAAGTCTACGGATGACTATGAAATTTTCAAGTGAAGAGATTGTTAATATAGCCAAAGAGTGCACCTAATCAATTTAATATCTATAAATGCTGAAGAGATTGTTAACTGTTTTTTGTTCAGAGAAATTAAATGTAACAAGATAAGTAGTTGGCAAAACAAGTAAGTGGTAAATGCTAGTAGTTGGTAAATGTAATAAAAAATAGTAAAAAATAAGGCCACAAAAAGTAGGTGATATAGGTGAAACACATGCTAAAGTTCGTAAAGCTTTTTCAAAAAACTTCAGCCCAATGTGCTGAAGTTTTTTAGTCTATTTCTAAAAACTTCAGCTCCTGATAAGCTGAAGTTTTTGTGTTGGATTCAATAGTTTTTTTCGTCAGTTTTTTCAAAAAAACTTCAGCCCAATGTGCTGAAAATTTTTAGTGTATTTCTAAGAACTTCAGCACTTGATAAGCTGAAGTTTTTGTCCTACAATCGATACTTTTATTATGACTTTTAACCAAAATTTCAGCTTAAAAAGCAGAAGTCATTTACTTCATGCTTAAGTTTTTTTAACAAAAATTTACTTAAAATTCATGATAAAAGACACAAACATATTTGTATGAACAAAAGTGAACTAAAAAAATAATTAATGTATATTCACAAAAGCCAAATTATGTGCAACCAATCCTCTAATAAAAAAATTCACAGACATTCTCTTCAAATATCCATAATCATGTCCTTCTTGTTCTTCTGGAGTTTCATAGCCGCTATCTTTTTTTCACTTTCTATGAGCCCAAAGATTGGCAGCCAATTCTCTCCTGAATGTCAATGACTGACTTTGA